CTTGGCAACGTGTCCCACACCAACTTGACCATGCTCATAACCATGGCAGCCCAGCATCTTCTTACAAGCTTCCAAAGATGGACAACCCACAACTTCCATAGGTAGGCTGTTCCACTGTTGTAGAGGTCTTTTTTGGGGTGGGTGGGTGGGTGTGGGATGGAGGGTCTTCTCTCATCTAAAAAAGACTTCCCCATTCCATCCTCTCTTTATTTATTTTTATTAAATTTATACGCCATTCACCTTGCTATCCAAAGTACTCAGAATAGAATAGAATCGAATAAATAGAGTTGAAAGGGATCTTGGAGGTCTTCTAGTCCAACCCCCTGCTTAGGCAATGCAAAAAAAAAAATAGAACTATAAAAACAATTATAAATATTGGAAGCATTAAAATTACAAAAATTACATAGACTTCAGCTCCAATTTAAACAAGGATTGGCCACTTCTGGCCCAGCAACCTTCCAGATGGATTTCCAGCCCCCTGTTGTATTTTCAGGGGTGCTGATAAAAGGGAGCATCCTTGCCCCAAGGCAGAGGGGGTTTGGGGGCCACCCACCTGGCAGCTGCAGGGAGCCGAAGGAGCAGAACCCCGAAGATCTCACTCAGATTCCGAGGAGACAATCCATTGCTTTCAGCTTGTTCAGCCACCTTGGAAAAGTGCCGGAGCAGGAATTGGAAGGTGAGGAGGTGTGGCAGAGGCATGGCTGGAGACTCCAACACCGAAAGCAACTGCTTTTGACAAAGCTCCGGTTGGGTAACATCTAGAGAGGAAGAGGAGTCGGTTTCCAAAAGGAAAAGAGAGCGAGGCGAGAGCAAATCTGTGCATCTTTGCACCAAAAGGTTGGGCATACTGAAACATGTCTATGTCTGCTAGGAAGACTCAGGAAACTGGCACTCCTTACATACCTAGAACCCCACTAAGCGTTCAAATTAAATCCTGGGAGAAGGAACCATGGCGGGAATCCAGAAGTTACAGGGCAAATGACTGTGGGGTGTTTAAGAAAACAGAGGCCGAAGCAAAGGCAGAGAATCGGGATATGATGTCAGCCCTGCTCTTTATGGCATCTCCCATCTCTGAGATGTTTTTATTAGGGAACATTAAGAGCCGATGCTCAGATTGATTGATTGCTTGTTTCTTCCCTTCTCAGCCATTTCTCTTTTACGCTGTATATTTTACACTGGAAGAATATCTCTCTTACTGATTTCACATAAGCTGTGCTAGAGCCTTTCCGGGTACAAGGCAGGCAAAAAGGATTTAAGTCAGTGTTTATTTTTTTTTAAAAGGCTCTCCTCTCCTGCCAGTCCCAAACTTCCTGGTCTTTGTCCCAGCTTGCAGCTGTTCGTGCTTCTCTCCTCCCTAAGCTCCCCTCTGCAGCTTTTCTTTCCCTAAAATGCTCTTCTCACCTTGGAGCACTCGTAAGATTTCGCCCTGCACGCAAGGGGGTACCACGGGGGTCGGCAGATCTTGCAGGTATCCCTTGAGAGCCTCGCCCAGGGAATGCACATCTAAGGCCTCCAAATCGCAGCCGGTCACAGCCCAGTCTGCAGGGACAGAAACAGTGAGAGAGAATTTGTTCCAGGAAGCCACCCAGAAGCTGACCCCAGTTCATTCTGCCCAGGGTTCCACCTCCCAGATGACAGCACCGAGACTCTCCTGATGATTCCGACAATGGGAAACGCAGGCAGGACTCAAGCAAGGGCTCTACCATCACTTTCTGGCACCTTGACTCTATAGGTCTTAAATATGGCGTGTTGGACTACGGCTGGATCATTATTGGCTCATGATTGCATCCAGCCTCTACCCACAGCAGCAGTGGTGGGATTCAAATAATTTAACAACTGCTTCGCCCAGGGTCACGTTGGCTGTCGTGGGAGGCATGGCCCTTCTTCATCCTCCAGCTCTGCCGCACATGCGGGATGAGCCTCCCGCAATGGCCAACCTCAACCTGGGCAAACCGGTTGTTAAATTACACACACACACACGGCTACCAAAGTAGATCCTGGATGCTGCGCTACAATGGAGAAATGGGGAACAGAGCAGCCGGCACAAGGGAAGGAGGAGCAGGGAGAAGGAAGAGGGAAAGCAGCCTTCTCCTTCCCTCGCCTTAACAACCGGCTGAATCCCACCACTGAACAGCAGACGCCGCTCATAGATCTTCTTATGACACCTACTAGGCCTTCTGATGCTCCAGTTGCCTTAAAGTTCAACACAAGCACTTTTAATACAAGCACTTCCCAGATGACATAAACTAACTTGGGTGGGCTAAAATCAACGGAAGGAATTCAAACATGGCAGCTGACAGTTCAGAGATGCACCCAGTGTGGCTGCTGGTGATTTTGGCATCCACGCACATGGTGGCCAGTCTAAGCAAAAGCTGACTTTCAGGAGAAATCCAGGAACAAAGCACCATCAAGTATTGGGTCCTTTTAAAAAAAAATCAACCCAATGTGAGTTTAGAAAATAAACATGGGAACGTGTCTAGGATCACCATTTCCTGACAAAGGTAAACTGAGATAGCCAGAAATTTGAGGGCAGGGCTATTTTAGGGGTGGTGACCAAAAGCAAGCTTATCTGTTCTGGTACGTGAGTGGTTGGTGACTAATTATCCCTACCGTGGCAGCCATGTTGTGAATGTATGACCCCTCCCCTCCCCCTCCAGTGGCCACCATTTTGCAAGCAGAGGGCCCAAAATATGCTTCCCAAATTTAAATGTGTCCCGTGTTTCCCAATTTGTTTTCTCTTCCTACGCATACAGAAAATCCAAGTAGATCTTGAACAAGAGTGGCCTTCTGCCAGTCCAAACAGTCCACTTAGGGTGAGGTGGCCAATTTGGCAATGTCCTAAGATCTTCTGCCTGCAGAACACAAGGCCACCCAAACCCGCAGAAAAATATTCAGAGCACTGAAGACGGGTGGTATAACCATCCGGCCTCCCTCCGCTTTTGAATTTAGAGTGAGTTAACTTAAGTGGGCTCACGACTCACAGGGTGCTTTCCGGCTTTTTCAACCAGAAAGAAGCGCTCTGCCCCTCTCCACTCGCTCACCCCTTTGCTTCTGCCCTCCCTGCCGGGATCTGCTGCTGAGAAGCTCTGAATGCAGGCATTGCTGCTGCTGCTGCTGCTGCTGCAGCCTCTAATCTCTTCCATCTGATCAGCCTTGCTTGCTCCCCGCAGAACTGGTTCTTACCGGTTCTCAGTGCTTGCCTTAGTTCGGAGCCAGATGTTCTGTAGAGCATCTTGCTGTCTAACCCTGTGAAAGCAACACACAGCAGATTGGATTAGCTTCACAAAGGAGGTTTTTTTTTTTCCCCTTCCTGGGGAGAGGGGGAGGCAGGGAACTGGGGACGCTGCACTTTGGGGGCAGGGAAATAAAAGTGAAGGAATAGGGCCAGGGCTTAGGAAAAGGAACTGTTTTTTTTTTTCCTGTTTGCCCACCTGCGCACCTTCGTATTTATGCTTTGGTGTCCCATTCTTTCTTTAAAATGCTTAGGAAACACTGATTTCATTCCTACACCAAGAATCCTGTTAGGATAGGCAGAAGGGGACTGATTTGGCCAATGTCACCCGATGAGCTTCCACAGCTCAAGTTATGAATCTGGCCTCCCCAATCCTCGCTTGTTACTGTAATCATTATACCAGATTGACTCATGGAGGTCCCTCTACTCTTGCCACAGAGCGGAAATCTTGGTAAGCCAGCATCCCCGGGGATCAGCCTTTCCAGAAAGGGAGGGAAGGCAGCTTTTCAATATATCCTCCCTCTTAAAAGAATTAACCACAGGAAGTACGTTGCCAATATATTCCTCTCTTCAACTCTACTTTGTCTGGGCACCCAACATGCTAAATCTTAACCAGGGTTTTGAGAGGATTTAACATAAGATTTAACATAAACATAAGATTTAACATTAGTTTGCCGATTTTGGCCAAAAGCCTCTTTTGAACCAGCAACCCCCCTAAGCCAGAACGTCTCTGAGCCACCAGCTCTGGAGTATGATTCTTCCCTTCTATTAAGTCCTTGCTGTCTAGAAAACAACGGATTAATAATACAAATTTAATTTTTTTTAAAAAAAAATGGCTACCTAGAACTATTTATACTCCATTCAGTATCAACAAGCCATTTATTTGCTTGCTTTTACTTCTTACATTTATATCTTGCTTTTTTTGCTCAAGAATTCAAGTTAAGCATCAATAGGGTTCTGCTCCCTCCTTCATTTTTTCTACAACAACCCTGTGAGGTAAATTGGATAGAGAGAGTGGCTTAAAGCTACCCCATGAGCTCCTGTGGTTGAAAATGGACAAAAAATCTAGGTAACCCAACCCATTTATCACTAGGTCACACTGATTCTTTATTTTCCATCATATAATTCAGTGCCCATTATAAAGCACCAGGTGGTCTTCCATCCACACTGTCTTAACATTAGCAGGGAAGCTTCAAGAGGTACCCTCCATACCAATATCCCATATGTAGCTTGCAGGCGCTGCCTCTGGGCCAAAATCTCACACTACCCAGCTGTCTCCTTTGGCTCACCTTTCTTCTCAATCACATCCACCAGCCTACACAGCAGAGGTGGGGCGACTTCAGGTGGGGCAAACTGCTCGGAAAGTTCTGGAAGTGTCACCCCTGAAACATGGGCAGAAAGACAGAAGGCTTTTTAAAATTTATTTATTAAATTTATATGCCGTCCACTTCTCAACCTGGGCAGCACCAAAAACTAATTAAATAAAAATATTATTTGAATAATATTTGAAAATAACATGGAACTCTCCCCCCCCCCCCCAAAATCTCCCAGTTTTTCCTTGATTTTTAGTAAGCAAGGTATTTATGAGAATCATTTTTTGGGGGGGGGGTGGGGGGGGCGGGAGAGAATGACCTGTACCTGATAAGAAATTATATTTGATAATTGTGTATTAAAGTACAGTTTTGGTACATTTTGACTATATCTCACCAGTTGTATCTTATAAATTATATGAGCAGCATCAAGTATTTTTAAATAAGAAAATGGATATGTTTAATCATTTCTAATTGTTTATACTTGTTATTAACTTTTATTATAAGTTGCCCAGTCACATTTGTGACAAGAGTGGACATATGACTAGCTGCTTAGTGAACTTTTAAATGGTAGCATACCCCAAAAAAGCTATTTAAAAATCTAATCTGAATTTGAAGTTCCAACACCCATACCCCTCACGGTTACATGCCCATTTTTGGCACGCTTGGCAATTGGCCCGCATTTATGGCTCTGTCCCGTGGTCATGTCATTGCATTTATAATGTTTTTGCTAAAATCCAGAATTTGGCTATATTTACACAAGATACTTTGCTCTAAATTTGTTTCTGGGGGAAAAAGCCACATAATGAACAATGGATCTACTTAACCAGCGTGGTATTCGTTAAATGACCATAGCATTTTCTTTACAACTACTGCAAAAAAAAAGGCCGTACAATCAGGTATGGTCACATGGAAACTTGCTTTATGACCATCATGAATTACAGCCAAAATTTCCAGGTTTCATTAGTCGTAAGAAAAATTTGACAATTAAATATGTGCAGGGATAACCTATTATTAATACAGTTACTGTGACCTATTATTATTAATACAGAATAACAATGAAAGGAATGAACAGAATCAAGGCTGAGTTCCTACAACTCATGACATTAGGTTCAAATGACGTGCAAAGTTTGTGACTCAGCGTGATATGGGACATGATCTACTGATTGTCTTAATGAATTGTGGGACATGGTCATCACAGGAAGCAAAACAGGTTTATATGAGGGCAGTATGTGGGACATTGCTACCTCAAATTTAGGGTAAAGTATGTTGTGTAAACATAGCCAATCAGTGACCCTGGGATTAGGATCCTTCCAACTGCAATTTGGGATAATAACATGGTGTGTTTTTGAACGATTGTTGCAAAGATTATCGATTGCTCTAAGGAGTCAAAAGGCAACACACATTTTTAATGAACTCCACGTAAAATAAAAAAGCTGGATGATCATAAAGGTGGAACCTGTCCAGATGCTAAGGGCCAGAATTTTTAATCTTTGTATTTATACATTTATAATCTCCGAGAAGTGGCAGGGAGCTTCCACTATGACCTGCCAATTCTCCTGATTTTATTTAAGTAAGGTCTGGTTTTTCCAGACTCAACTGGGCATCTGCAATCAGTTGGCTTCACTTGTAAAACAGGTGCCAATTCCTCCTGGCCAGGAGTGCCCTCTGCAGCTGCCCTGGGCTCTACTTTGCCCTCTGTAAGTAAAAAAAAAAAGGAATTTTAAACCTATTCCTACCTCTTTTAAAGCACGATCAGTCACCCCGCTCAAAAAAGTCCAGAAAAACTCCCAGACATTTTCCTTGCAAGCTGGCCTTGGGCCAGCTCTGGCCCCCGAGCCCGACAGCGTCAAATCCTCTGGCTCAGCCGGAGAATGTCAAGTCAGCACATTCCTGATTGTGAAACAGTGTGTGCATGCATGCACGCTCCTTTATCTGGGGCTGTGTGTGTGTGTGTGTGTGTGTGTGTGTGTGTGTGTGTAAAATGCATACACCAAGCTGGCCATTTCCCCACTCCAATGGTTTAGCATTGGGCCTCTCTTCTTCAATGAAAATTAGCTGATGAAAAAGGAAACGGGAAGGAAAGCTGATTTTGGCTGTCTGTAAAGAATTCTGTTTCTGTTCTCCAAGCTACCTTCATAAGATTTTTTTTAAGGGAAAATAGTGGGGGAAATGGGCCAAGAGAACTTTTTGCTTCTGAGTGCTATTATTATTTATTTCTTTTTTTCCCCCCAGCAAGCGCTTAAACTATTCCCACTCCCACCCATCATTGCTCACAGATGGATGCAGAAAGTTTTTGAAAATTATTTTCAATGTCTCCAATGTGGTGATTTTAAACCAAAAAAATCTCACACCTGCCTTGCTAAGGAGAAGAAACAAAACGTCTTCCTAGAAATATTTGCCTCAACTGGCAACACTGCGCCCAGATTATTGTATTTTCTCACAACCTGTCCAGACCTTTTAGGGCCAGCCGAGAAGTAAAAAAGAGTCACTAAGCAAGGCAGGGAGACTGAGGTTCAGAGAGAGCTCAGCCCGTAACCCACCAAGGATTAGATTAGTAGTAAGTCACATGTGAAAAAAAGAAAGCTGAGTCATTATGAAAAGCAGCAGGAGCCACAAAGGTTTTACAACTTCAGGAAGGATATTGTAATTATCATTATCTCCCAAAGATGTGGGCTATTCAGGTACAGATAGTTCTTGGCGTGCAATCACAATTGAGCCCAAATTTTCTGTTCCTGAGCAAGACAGTTGAGTTTTGCCCCATTGTGTGACTTTTCTTGTTGTAGCTGTTAAGTGAATCATTCCAGTCGTTAAGTTAGTAACATGGTTGTTAAGTAAATCTGGCTTCCCCACTGACTTTGCTTGTCAGAAGGTCACAAACACTGTTGCCAAGTGTCTAAATTTTGATCACATGGCCATGAGAATGCTGCAATGGTCCTGTGAAAAATGATCATAAATCACATTTTTAAGGGCTATTGTAACTTTGAATGGTCACTAAATGAACTGTTGTAAGTCAAGGACTACCTGTAGTGGGAAAGGAAGAAAACATTTACAGGTAGTTCTCAACTTACAACAGTTCATTTAGTGACCATTCAAAGTTACAACAGCACTGAAAAAAGTGACTTATAGTCATTTTTCACACTTACGACTGTTTCAGCCTCCCGTCATGTGATTTACATTTGGATGCCTGACAACTGATTCACACTTATGACGGTTGCAGTGTCCTGGAGTCTTTTGCCCCCTTCTGACAATAAAATCAAAGGGGAAACCAGATTCACTTAACAACCATCTTGCTGATTTAAGAATGCAGTGATTCACTTAACAAATGTGGCGATAAAGGTCGGAAAATGGGGCAAAACTCACTTAACAAATTTCTCGGTTAGCAACATAAATTTTCGGGTCAATTATGGCTGCAAGTTGAAGACTATCTGCATATAGAGAGAAAAACTGATAGCTGTTTAAAGAAAACTTCTCTTTAGTCAGGCTTTAGACCAGCGGTCCCCAAACTTGGCAACTTTTAAGACTTGTGGACTTCAACTCCCAGAGTTCTCCAGCCAGCTATACTATGTGGCTGGAGAATTCTGGGAGTTGAAGTCCACAAATCTTAAAGTTCACAAGTTTGGAGTCCTCTGCTTTAGACCAACCTTGTCTAACCAGACACCCTCCATTCTGCCATGGACTATAACTCCCAAAATTCTTAGCCATAGAAGGATATCCACATTATATAGTCAAAAACACTCAAGACAGGGGCTACAATCAAATACTACCTGTTTTTTAATGTATGTTTGACCACATCCCAACTTAGCCAGCTGGAAATTCCAACCCTCCCATTTTTTGGAAAGTGCCAAATTGGGATATCTCCATCCATCAACCATTTAATTTCATGTGCCTAAGATCCTTTGCTTCTGGCATTATTTATAAGCGTTTTTACGAAAATAAAGATATCCTTTAGTACCTGGTTAGTCCATTTTTTTAAAAAACCCATATAAATAGATTTTACGATTTAACGGAACAACAACATATCCTGGCAGGACTTCCTCTTCCGCACTGGCTAAATGCTGGGAAGCCTAATAAGAAAAATGGTCTCCCTTGGCTAGCTTTCAGACAACCTGAAACGCCTCTCTGCCCTTTGATGTGGTAGTTACTGTACATGACACTGAAGCCCATAATTTGAGGCCACACTGGTTGCTGGCTTCAAGTGTGCACCCAGGCATCACCTCTCTGCAGATGCCCCTTATTCTGGGAAGGGCATCTCAAGCCTCAGGGCTGTTCCCGCTCAGGAGACCGAGAGCAGCTGGGCCTACCTACTCGCTCTGTGGGGGCAGATGGCAAGTCCAGCCAACAGGAACTAGGAAACTGGTTGGAGCAGAACAATGAACCGTGTTGTTCTTGTTGTTGGTAGCTTTCCCTGGACTGGATGTTTCGGGAACAGCATTTTTCAAAAGCCTGACCTGAAGCCACAACGGTTCACTTTCTTCCTCCCCCTTGCAAGCCCTTCCTCTCACTTTGCACCCTGACACAGGTACTCACCCTGTTCCTCCGGAGCGTGGGATGCCCCCGTTCCAGGAGTGGCGGGCAGGGGCCTGGTGACCCTGGGACGATGGGACGGGAGGGAGATTTTCACTGGCCCCACATACTCCACATAGGTGCCCGGGAAATCCCCCTTTTGTTTGGTGCGCTCATTGACCCCTAGAATCCAGCCAATCTGGTTCGGCATCTGCTCATCTCCATCCTTAAAGCCCAGGGCCTGCAAGGCCCCCTTGCTCACCACCAAGGTGTCCCCGGGTAACAGATCGATATCTTCGTTGCGTTCCTTATGGTAGGGGTAGAGGGCCCGATACTGGAAGCCTTCAGTGCTCCCCATAGTCCCCTGGAAAAAAACCAAGCAAATGCACCGGCGAGGAAAAAAGTGGAAAAGAGGAGTGGGCTGAGGTTGGCTGTCCCACTTCCCTCTCAAGAGCTCTGCATGAAGGTGAAAGTTCCCTGGGTCTGCTGGCATGAACAGCCGGGCCCTAAGTACAGCCCCGTCGTTCCCGTAACTTGAAGCCACGATTCAACCAGATGATGAAGCAAAGGGAGAACGTGACGAGCATAATCCAGCACTTGCAGGTGAGCTGGGGAGGAGAGGCAAATGACAGCTCAGGATCTCAAAGGTGTTCGGGAAGAAGTTGTGATGCGCAGGACTCTGGAAAAGGGAGAGGAAGGGAGACCATCACTCAGACACGCTTCCTTAAGTAAGAGGGCTAATACTTATATTTGATTTTAGGAGGTGTCCCAAGCAGCTAACAGAAATGGAGCTCAGCACCACAGCACGACTGAAAGAGAAAAATACCAAGAACAAGGAAACAGCAGACAAAAATTCGATCGAGACAACAGAAAGGATTATCATTCATGTATTAGCAATATTTCAGATTCTTTAACCTTAAAGGGGGGAAAACTTTTTCTCAACATCCTATTTTAAAACTTTTCTTTAATAATTTTTGTAAAATCATTAAATTCTAATACATCTTTTTAGACTTAACATGCTTTCAAATACATTTTTAATAATATTTATAAGCTTTAGGAATTACTCAAGCATTACATATAATGAAAAAAACCACATTTTCAAACCCACTTTATAAATACAAAGCTACATTAGAACTTTATTTCAATATCAGACCAGTAAAAATCTACCCTATAACTCCAATTAACTCAGTAAATTTAAGTCACTCCTTTCAGCTTATCCTCATAGAATAGTACAAATAGAAACATGTATTATTTTCTACACCAAGGGAAAAAAGTAGACGGTTAAATTGTTTTATTCAAAGAAAATAATATATCTAATTTGGTTTATTTGGAAACTGCTCCTGGATTGTGTGCTTGTAATGAAGAAAATGAAACTTGATTTTGGTTTTGCTGATTAGATAGGTTCATTATTATAAAAATGGCTAGCATATATTATTGTATAAAAGTAAAAAGTAGAAGTTGTAATGTTATTATCTTCTACTGCGCTAAAAAGAAGTCAATGCCTTTTTCTTTTTCCCTTTTTAATCTACTTTTGTTTTCCCTCTCTCCCAGTTTCCCATTATTTTCATTTTTCTTTGTATTTTATACTCTGATAAACTAATAGCATTTTTGATAATAAAGAGACTGCAGAAAGGAAGTAATGGGAAGGGGAAGGTCTCAATAAAAATGCAAAAAGGTCTTAGAAATACAGTTGTGCAAAAATGGAAGGACAGACAAGTCCTAGTACAGGTATTCTGCACTTTTAATTACCAAAGTTACAACAGAAGCGAAAAAGATGACTTACGACCATTTTTCACACAACTGTTGCAGTATCTCCATGGTTACATGATCAAAGTTCAGATATCTGGCAACTGGATCACATTTGTGACGGTTGCAGTGTCATTGGGTCATTAGGACCACCTTTTGAGACCTTCTGACAAATAGCAATGGGGAAGCTGGATTTACTTAACAACAGTGGGTACTAACCTAACTGTAGTGATTCACTTAACAACTATGGCAAGGAAGGTGGCTCAGTTGTGACAGTAAGTCAAAGACTACCTGTATAGCCAACTTAGGTGCCAGAAACCTTTCTCCAGGTATATTAAACAGCCAGGAAAACTTAAGATAAGAAACATTGCTCTGAGGTAATCATGAGGTACTTTGATCCCAAGTCATGTTTCTCAGAACAAGCAACCCCTGTTGTTAGGCCAGGGGGTGAGCAGCTCTTCGCTTCACAAAGCACACTAACAAGAGTCCAGAAGATTGGGAATAAAAGCAGCCAGATGCGCATGATAGTGGCCAGAGACCTGACCAGTTTTGTTCTCAAGTGAATCTCTGAAAACAAAGATAGGATTTCTCAATTGCAACTCAAAGCCATATCAATTCCCAGCCTGTCCTTTGTGAACAAGGAAAGTTTTTCCTCCTTTCTCCCTTTTAAGATGGATATCTCAAGTTTTTCTGCTCCCAGTTCTCAGTTTTTTCTTGCAGGCTAGAAAATGTATGACAATGGATTTATTTAGGACATTTTTAAAAAATGGTTGTTGGAGAGACTTGGAGCAAGCCGCAGAGAAGGGCATTAGAAGTTCACACTGTACTGGGAACAGAAGCCTGGAATTCATCTCTCTTTCACTCTCCCCTCTTTCAACCAATAGCTCTCTCTCACATGTTCTCTTTCTCTGTGTGCGTGTCTCTCTCTCTCACACACACACCCCATACACAAACATGCACATTTGTAAAATTGGAACCAAGTCCAGGGAAGAGATTGAAGGCGGCGGCAAGAGGAACTTCTGCCCTATTGTGCCTTGGAAATCTCTATCCCAGGGAACGCTATCTCCCATCAGCCCTTCCTCCAGGCCAACCCGTACAAGTACAACATTGCATTATCCTTAGAAAAATGCTCTATGGATAAAGAATGGATTGGGGTAAAAAAATGAGTTAGATCTGGAATCAGCAACGGCAATAATAATCAGTATGGTTAAATTAAACTTCCAGCTCTTGTGTCGGTGTACCTTAGAGTCTCTCTTACATAAAAAAGTAGACAATGTTACTTCTTTGTGAGTGTTTGAGCTTCCCAGGGACTGTTCTGTTTGGCCGCTGTCTAAAGCAGAAGTCTCCAAACGTGGCAACTTTAAGACTTGTGGACTTCAACTCCCAGAATTTTCCAGCCAGTTGAAGTCCACAAGTCTTAAAGTTGCTAAGTTTGGGGAGTCCAGACTCAGCATTATCTATCATGGTTGACCAGATTAGTACTTGGATGGTAGATGATTCCAGGTATATGCTAACATAGACGGTAAAAAAAAAAAACCATGGCAAACTAATGCCATACCACTGTCAAGAAAACAAACTATCAACAGGCCTTTTAATCTAATCTGGGAAGATCCTTCCCAAGTTCTTAATATATGTTGCTTTGAATTGATTGGCTTTGGTTAACAGGAGGGCCTCCAAATCTCACTAAAAATGCAGCACCTTGATGATTTACTTAGTTACAGTCAATATATTTTCCTCCTTTCCTAATTTAGCCTTTGCCCACCTGGATATCTCCCCTACTGATTTCCAACTCCAACACTGCTGAGAATTATGTAAATCAAAGTTAAATACCAAATATCTGGACGATGCACATCTTTGGTTTCACAGAATTTAATATAAATCCATGGCTACTCTCAAAGAGACTTTTAAAATGGCAAAATGTCATCCCATAGACGTCCATTAAGTAACCCAGTTCATCCACTTGGAAGGAGCAACTGTAGGAATGGGAGAATCCCATTCAGGAGCTATTTTAAACTTGCTTTTGGCATCCATTTTATAATCCAGAACACCAAAGATGGATCCTCTCTATGCCCCTCTTCTCTGTCACCAACCTTCATGAAAACGGTGGCTAGTTGTACTTACAGCTCTTTTCTTGGCTGCTGAGCTGAGAAAGTGAACCAGGAATACCTAGGCCAGGGGTGTCCAACCTTGGCAACTTTAAGACTTGTGGATTTCAATTCCCAGAATTCCCAGCCAGCCACAAGTCATAAAGTCGCCAAAGATGAACACCTCTGTTATAGATCTCAAATGTGTCCAGGGAACTTTTTCTTCAAATATTAATATTCCAAAATGAAAAGGAGTCTAAAGGCACCTTTTCAGATGAACATATCTAATAAAAACTCACAGGTTTCTAGTGAGCTGTAGGTCACTATCAGATTCACCTTCAGTTTATGCCTTTTAATCAAGTCTGTTAGTCTGAAAAGGTGCTCTCAGATTCCTTCTGATTTTTTGATATTACGGATGAACATGGCTTTTTTCCTACAATATCTTTGACTATCCAAATATAGTCAAATATCTTTGACTATCCTGTGGCTTTACAGTATCCTCCTCTGACCCTTCCAGAGCTCACAAAGTGGGCCTCACTCTCCTCAGCATATTTAATAGTTCTACTTTAATTAAGTCCATATGGGTTGCATCTGAAATTGGCTCTTTGTTCACAGTTTCTAATTTAGTGCAGAATAATCACTGAAACCTGACATCCCTCACTCCCTAAAATAAACTTGGGGCGACTCCAAATTTTATGCTCTTGTTAGACATTCTAGTATGCAGATCGGTAACCCATAGAGCCCTATGGATTCGGTTTCTTCAATGCACAAATGCTCTTGCCTTGAAACCATGTTGGTTGGCACTGAAGACAACTGAAGCTCAAATCAACTAAGGGCACCAGTTTTTTTGACCTTCTGTCCAATGGCTTCATTTCTGCTCACAATCCAACTATGTCCTAAGAGTCACTTATTTTAACTTGCCAGGGGTGGAATACGGGTAGTCCTCAATTTATGACCACAATTAAGCCCAGAATTTCTGTTGCTAAGCGCAACAGTTGTTAACTGAGTTTTGCCGCATTTTGTGACCTTTCTTGCCACAGTTGTTAAGTGAATCACTGCAATTGTTAAGTTGGTAACACAACTGTTAAGTAAATCTGGCTTCCCCACTGACTTTGCTTGTCAGAAGGCTGCAAAAAATGATCATGTGACCCTGGGAGGCTGCAATCGTCACAAATATGGACCAGTCGCCAGGCATCTGAATTTTCTTCACGTGACTATGGGGGATGCTGCCAATGGTCATAAGTATGAAAAATGGTCCTAAGTCACATTTTTCAGTGCCGTTGTAAGTTCAAACAGTCACTAAATGAAAGGTTGTAAGTCAAGGACTACCTGTACTGCAAATAACTTTCAGGGTGCACTGAAAAGAGAAAAGAGTGCTGTTTTTTTTTTTTTTACACAGGCCCCTTCTGAAACAGAGAAGGAACATGGTTCAGATGCCCGTCTTTGCAGGATGCAAAAGGGAGAGAAGCAACTGAAACTCCTGGGGGAAAAGCTCGTTTGAGCGAGCGACATTTTGGCTGTGCCAGATGCAGCCTGGAATGTGGGCAGCAGCTGCTGCTGTTCAGAATAAGCCTGCTCGGGGAGGCAGCTCCTCCAGCCCAACTTTTTACGACAGATGTGGCAGCTCATCCAGGATTTGTGCTGAAGGAAGCACCAGGTGCACGCAAGACACAAAAGGGGTACAGTCTCTTGCCCAGAGGGCTTAATTTTACCAGAGTCAGATGCATGTTGGATGGGTATAGGCTGTGGGAATAGGGAAGGTGGCCCTAGGAGCTTTAAGGAAGGATCCTGAGGAAAATGGAGTTGCTGAGGAACTGAGAAGAGCTTTGTTGGCAGGTGAGCTTATGAAAATACAGGGAGCAGGAAGAGGAGGAGCCCTAATCAGGGATTAAAAAGGAATAAACTTTTAAAACTGAGGACTAGATTCTTGATGTAGACACTGTATGAACGCTGGATAAGGAAATCCCATTGTAGTTCCAGGGGGAAGGATGGAAAATAAGATTAGACCGACTTTGAAAATCAAGTAGAAATGACAAATACAGCAGATAACCCTCTTGACCCTGGCATCTCTCATGAAAAGATTTGACAATTGCAATCTCAGCAATAGCAGCAAGTTTAAGAAGGCTGGTCCAAAAGAGGCGGCAACCAACTTGGGGGGGCAAAGGTTGCAACAACGCACACCGGCATGGCCAAAAGAGCTGAAATCAGATTGGAAAAAGATCCTGCACCACCACAATTTCTACACGCACCACTACAATTTCCACACAGTAAGGCAAAAGCCGCCTGCTAGGCCCCAAAACGTTTTAGAAACCAGGATCACTCAAAATAATGGCTTGTGCCTGCAAAGCCTGGAAATATTTGCTCCCCACCCCCCACTTTTTTTTTCTTGAACCATGAAAGACCACCGAAAAGGAAACTCAAAAGAGGATGCCTCTTTTCAACTTCATAAAGAGATGAATTCTGGGTTGTTGGTTTTTTTTTTTTAAAGAAAAGCAATACATTATTCACTAGGGAGGAATATCACCCCCCCCTTTTTTTTTAATGTAAACTTGGAAATCCTTTAAACTTGGAAATCCTGAGAGGGTGAAGGCAGCTGCTCCTGCCCCATCAGTCTTGGGTTGAAGAACCAGATTCAAATTCTAGAGATCATCAGACCCCACTTAGCTGCTTCCTGCTCTTCCCACCACAAAAGCCACAGTGGAGGGTACGCAAAGCAAGGTCCTGGTCTCCCCCCTCCCCAACTTCACTTCAACTGTCAGGTTTCCCCCTCCTGCAAGCGATTTCCTCTTGTAAAAATGTTTTTAAAATGTATTGTACCTTCTGGGCTGGCGAGGGCATTACAGTACCAGCGCAGAGCTCAAGTACATTAAAAGGGACAGGAATGCACAAGTCCCCCCTCCTTTTTTTTTCCACAGATGGGGAGCGGGAAGGAAGTAGCACAGAAAAAATAATAATTTGAGCAGAAATCCCCCCCTCCACTCCTTATCGCAGAGTCCCCCCCCGCGCTTTCTTCCTAGCGCCCATTTCCCCCAAATAAACCTTATTTTAATTTTGTTTCTAAAGCCGAGGCAGAGACTTATTTCCACCCTCGGGCACCCAGAGTCGACGGCTGCAATACAGCACAGAGAATCGCCCCTTCTTTTTTCTCTCCCCTCCCCACATCGAATCTGCCCCCCCTCCCCCGGCAACGACTGGAAATGGTGGATTTGCATGGCACAAATTTCGCACACACCCCCGGGAAGGGTTTTTGCAATGCACCGAGGAGCTGGGAAAAGACTGGCCGTCAATTCTCCCTGCATAAAAAAAAGGGGGGGTCCCCTATGTGGAACGATCAAGTTAAACTCCCTCCCCCCGCACCCCTAAACTTACCTTTTGCCCACGAAGCGCTCCCGTTTCTCCTCAGGCTCCCCCTCGTCGCTCCAGCCAGCTCTTGGCGCTGGGAACGCAGCTGCAACCCAGGGAAAGAGGGAAAACCGGGAAGGGCCGAGAGTTGACGACCAAGCCCGAGAATAGCCGAAGTCTCTGCTTCGGAGAGAGAGAGAGAGAGAGAGAAAGAGAGAGAGAGAAAAACACGAACCGAACGCTATTGCCGGAAAGAAACGAGTCTCTGCCCGAGCGCGTCCGAAGGGTCGAAAAAAGGCAAATTCGCCCTTTTGTCTGCAAAAGTTGGATTGTGGGCTTCCTTTCCCTCCCACAATAAATTAATAAATAACACTCTCAGCGATATCAAGCTTTCTTTTTGTTTACTGGTAGTTTGTTCTGTTCATTTTCATCTTTCTTTTGCCTTATTTCATATACTTTTGTAAGATTCTCTCCATTTTGGATTCCATAGAAGACTAAAGATTGCGAATTCTGTAGCCTCATATTGTCCCCATTATCATCCTTATCCCATTCTGGCTCCGTGAGGGGGCATTTCCAGCAGTTGTCATTCTCATGCTTTTTTTTTTTAAACTGCCACTCCATTGCTTCCCCTCACCAGTCTCTGTTCCTCTGGTCTGGGGTTAAAAGGACATCCATCAATGTCTGAATCTCTACCCAAGTGGGGTTATGTATCCTTATAATAATAGATAAGAACAGAGAATGCATTTTCTCTGGGTCTTCCCTACAACTGGGATTTTATTACTTCCAGTTATAAAGGTCTGAATAGAAAAGGGTGCATAAACTAGCACTCAACGGGATCTATTTCCTCCTCCTACCACTGTATTTTCTCTAAGTGGAGTCTGCATCTCCGGTTTCAGTTTTGAACTGAATGGATGTCACAAGAGTCATTTACTGTTTGATTACATTATTCTTCAGCCTCCCCACTTCTCTAGGAACTCCTTGTCTGGGCCACCCCACTCCATGAGTAGGGGGTGGCAGACCAGTCTCAGCCCTCCAGTATAACCAGAGAAGCACTGGGTTTCTTTATCAGAAAGGGAATCAAAATAATTAACCCCTTTCACAGTTTAGGAATAGGGAGTCAACACACACAGGCGTTTACACGTCAGCATACTTACACATTTATCCTCCATTCAGACTGCTCACATAAAAGAAATCCACATACAAATATCTCCTTTCATACTTTCTCCAGGTAAACCAATCGTTATTATCATTATTTTAGGGAGCTTTCACAAGCCAATGAGCTCCATTTTTCCAGATCCTTTTATAATAATAATTATTATTATAATGATAATAATAGTAATAGTAATGCCTTTTTGTTTATTGTTATGAGAGGGTCTTGCTCCTCTCCCAAGTCTTGGAAATAACACAACATAGACACACATAGACACTATCTCTGTACTCCTTTTACAGAAGTGGACTATTAACAAGTTTCACAAATAAACCAAAATATTGTATCTCTGTCTGTCTCTTTTGCTCTCCAACATTGCTTTTAGTTGCTCAAAAAGTCCCATATTGTGAGGTCCTTGAAACAGCCAAAAATCACCTGGATTGTTCAAGGGAATTTGAGGCCAGACAATAATGAGAAAGGGCTGCCTTTGATCCCTGTATCTAATCCTCCTAATATCTCAAAATTAGCAAAGAATAGAATAGAACAGAATTCTTTATTGGCCAAGTGTGATTGGACACACAACAAATTTGTCTTGGTGCAAATGCTTTCAGTGTACATAAAAGAAAAGATACAAAGCGTGCGATCACTAAACCCGTTGTTATACCGGTGGAATCCCACCCCTGGAGTTACCCAATTATTACCACTAGCTGATTAGTAATGCAGCCTTAGTAAATAGTTGGACAGTATTGAGGAAATTATTTGTTTAGCAGAGTGATAGCATTCTGGGAAAAAACTGTTCTTGTGTCTAATTGTTCGGTGTGCAGTGCTCTATCTATAGTGTCGTTTTGAGGGTAGGAGTTGAAACAGTTTATGTCCAGGATGTGAGGGGTCTTGTTAATATTTTCACAGCCCTCTTTGCCTTTCCACCTGTAAGCACACTATGGGGTCTCCCAGTACATGGATATTGATGTTGGGTGCATCTTGGAAAATCAAATCATTTTCAGATTCAAAAGGAAGCGGGGATGATGGTCTGTCTCCTAAAATAAAGCCAGGTCATGGCACACACTTGAAAGTAAATCAGGAAGACTAATTACGGAGTCTGCCTGGCAAGAACAAAGAATGCTTATCCACAGAAAATACGTGTAAAGCTTGTAACAATTCTGGGGAGTTAGAAAGCTGATAAAAGTAACAAGAATTTGGCAACTTGCAGACCTCAGCTAAAAGTTAGGCACAGAGATGGCCTGCAGCAAATAAAATGTGTATTAGATAACTCCTGAGGCATTCATTAGCCAAGGCTTAGGAATAGGGACAGCTAGAGACCAACCGAACAAATTGTAGAATTATTACTAAAATGTTTATTAGATGATATTTCTTATTATCTTGCCTTGTCCTGCCTTCTCCTTTTGTGAAAATGTATAAAGCTTACTTAATCCTTTGTTCTTGGTTCTTGGAATTTAGGCCAGGAGCCCTTTTCCCGGAGTGCTCCAATAAAAAGCAGTCAGAAAATCTGCACCTCGCGTCTGGCATCCATCATTGGCTTCAGCACCAGGCTCAGTCCCGAACTGGGGACAACAGAACAGTAGAACTGGGTTGCTTCCGGGCAAGGCTTTTTTTAATTATGTAATCGTGGGAATAAGGTTTTTCTTAGCCAGGATTTTGCTGGCCTAGCGCTGGGATTTGAAGCAGCTAATGCTATTAGAGGTCTTACTTGCCACTGAGCAATGCTGGTCTTTCTTCCAGGGTTAATCACGCCAAAGGGTGAAGGTTTTCCCTGTAGGGAAGGAGCCGTGGGTGGAAGATGCGTGGAAACCTGGTGCTTAAGACAACAGAGCAATATATCCTAGTAGTAAATCCTGCCTCTTCTTTTGTAAAATATGCAATGCCAACATTTGCTTGGTATAGAAAGAAGCAACCCGTGGCAAGATTTTGCCACTTCCAACATGCAGGGGGGAAAACCCATTATCTACCGGAAATAAGAAAATAATTGATTTGTCATTATTTATTTATTTTTCTACCCCTACGGTGAAAGCTAAAACGAGAGTTCCCCCTAACAGGACCGAGGCGATTTGTGTAAATTCCGGAGAAAGCCGAAAACACCCGATTCGGAGTTGCTCGCGTTCACCGAAAGGGACACGAACATAATCGACGGGAGGCGGAAATGGGCGAAACTTCAAGCTCCTGTAGACGCGGAATTGCTTTGCTTGCTATTACGTCATCTAAAGTCATTGAAATGCCCTGATGGAGGCGGGGGAGGAGACAGAATAATTTGTGGAAGTGGCTTTTAACCTTTGCGAAGCTATTTTGCTTATCTATCATCTGCTAAATGGCAGCAACTATTCGCATAATGTAGATGTATAATAAAGCAGAACTACCCGGATAGGGGCTATGAAAATCTGAGCGATCGCTAGATGGCAGCAAAGAAAGGCCTCCGAGGGCCCTCACCGAATATGTCTGTAGAGGTTCTCAGGCATGCATGGTTGTCCCAAAGATGCTTTTTCAGGAGGCAGCTGGACTTTCTTGTTTTTTCCTTTTGAAGACGTTTTGCTTCTCATCCAAGAAGCTTCTTCAGCTCTGACAGGATACCATTCCACACTATCCTGTCAGAGCTGAAGGATGAGAAGCAAAATGTCTTCAAAAGAAAAAAACAAAGTCCAACTGCCTCCTGAAAAAGCACCTTGGGGACCTCCCCAAATATATTTTAGACTAGAATATCTTGTAAACTTTTTAAAACTAAGATAATTTAAATTAGTGTTTTTCAAACTTGTCAATGTTAAGATATGTGGTCTTCAACTCTCAGAATTCCTCAGCCAGCATGCTGACATGGTTTTATTAGAAGAAGATGGTTACTTCAACTAACAAGCATTTGAAACACATATGGTGGACTGGGCGAAGGTCCTCCACATGAGAAGCAAAGTTCATCAACCAAGTTTTCAGTACCTTTGGAGTAATTGTGACTTGAGAGAAGCTCTGTGACACGTGCTGAATATCTTTGCCTCAGCCTGAGTCATAAAACGATTAGTTCCCTCCAGGGTTAAACTGGGAAATTGAGCAAGTTGAAGCTGCATTTTTGTGGTTATCTCCAGGGCTGTTGAACTTACATTTGAATACCGTATATTAAAAATAGACACATCCATGTAGTGTTCTTGCCAACCGTGTGGAAGAAGTTCACACTGCCGCCTTCTGAGAGTTTTCAACTTTGAAGGGAATCGTGGCTGCACCTGCTTATAGTCCAAGCTCAGCCAAAATTAGTACTTGCTTTAAAAAGCCTACAGGATAAGCTTTATACATAGTCCTCGATTTATGACAGTAATTGGGATCAGAATTTCCACAAGGCATTTAAGTGAGAAGCACCCAATTTTACAGCTTTTTCCCCCTTGCCAGAATTAAGCAAATCTCTGCAGTTGTTCGGTAAATCGTGCAATCCTTAAGCAAATCCAATTTCCCCTATTGCTTGTCAGAAGCAGGCTTGAAAGGTTACAAATGGTGCTCACATGACCCTGGGATGCTGCAACTATTATAAATATGCACGGATTGTCAAGCACCCAAATTTTCATTATGTGACCATGGGGATGCTGCAGTGGTGGGATTCAAAAATTTTTACTACCAGCTTTGTGGGTGTGGCATGGCTTAGTGGGCATGGTGTGGTGGGTGTGGCAGGGGAAGAATACTGCAAAATCCCCATTCCCTCCCCACCCCACTAACCTGCTTTCCAGGTCTGTTCTCCTGTGCAGGGCAACCAAAGAAGACCCAGCCAATCAGCTGGGACTCAATGGGAGGCAGAGAATAGTTGGGGGTGGGGCCAGTCAGAAGAAGTATTTGCCGGTTCTCCAAACTACTCAAAATTTCTGCTACTGGTTCTCCAGAACTGGTCAGAACCTGCTGAATACCACCTCTGGGATGCTGTAACGTAAGTGTGAGGATAAATTCTAAATCTCTTTTGTCATTGCTATTGTAACTTTGAAAAGTCACTAAAAGAATGGTTGCAAATTGTGGATGATCTGTACTGATTACTGTATGACTTTTCTAAGCCAGTTCAAGCTCATTTATCTAAATCAGGGTCTCCAACCTTGAGAGTTTTAAGACTTGTAGAATTCTGGGAGTTAAAGTCTACAAGTCTTAAAAGTTACCAAGTTTGGACATACCTGATTTACATGAAGCCCAGGTAATCTGTGGGATGTTTTCCTGTACAGTCTGTTAATGTTCAGAAATCACTTTTTCTCATCACACCATGGTTAGATTTAAGACTATAATTGTTTCTACTTTTTCTGTAATGCATGTTATATTACAGAACATGCTCTGTGATTGGAACAAATATCCTCATTTCCAATCTGCCTAGAGCTTTTATGAGGTTTAAAAATGAGTAAATTAGCAAGAGAGAATGAAAAGATCAATAAACTGTGTCTTATAGGGAAGTTTGTTGGTTGTCCTTTGCTCAGTATGCCTCATGGATTCATTGAAAAAATATATGGATGGGTATGCTACATATGCCATTCCATACTCCTGGAGTAAACATCTTCAAAGAAAAACCAAGAATGTCCTCTTGAAAAAGCACCTTTAGTACAACCATAACCCAGACAACATTCTGGAGCTAAAGTGGGACTGAGATTCCTCAAATATGTAAAGATAGCAGCAGGCTTCTATTTTCATTTAGAAATAAAATGTAATGTAATTATCAAGTAAAGGAATGCAGTTTTCTCCTATAAAAACATTTCAGATACATTTGATGTGCAACATGTCTTATTTTGGGAAATTTAGTTCCTCTATTTTAATACTTCATTTCAAACCTACTGCTTGTGAAGGGATAGCAAATAAATTTAAATTACAGACACTAAAACCTATAAGGAAATTTGTCATAATGACTCACTTCACCCATTCATTTTTGATTTGATTAACTTAGATCTGGATGTTACTCAGAAATTCTTGAAATAACAGGCACAGACGTCATTCTAAAGTCTTACCATGTGCTTTTTATTTTGGAGTTCTTTGGATGTTAATCTTAACTGATGGTCTGCTTGCACTATTCATTGTGCAGCTCAAGTCCCAGAGTGGAAATATTAGAGATGCAGTGAATAAAAAGTATGGAAACTTCTGTCAAAACTTTTCTTCCCACCACACCCAATGAACAACTTATTTTCCCAACTGCAGGACAGAAATATTACTATTTCCAGGAGCTGTGACACGCAGACCAAATATGCCTAAACTCTTCTTTTCCAACTCAATGCCTTCCAGATGTGTTTTGGCACCTGAAATTCCCCAGCCAGTATGCTAATTCTGAGAACTGTAGTTCCAGTTCCTCTGAAGGGCATCCAGAGGGCTGGTTTAATATATAGAGTTCCTTTCAAAATCCAGTCTTTATCTTGGCAATCAAGAAGAAAGGGACACTGGGATCTTCCAGAAGTCTCCAACTTTGGCAACTTTAAGACTTGTGGACTTCAACTCCCAGAATTCCTCCTGCTGGTTGAAGAATTCTGGGAGTTGAAGTCCATAAGTCTTAAAAGGTGCCAAGGTTGGAGACCCTTGCATATACTTTGAGATTTGTCTTCCCCTGGCCCAGCTGTTTTATCACTTTTTTGGTATTCAGCTTTGTTCGGGTATTTTTCCACGTCATTATAGTTGTGCTTTTAAAGTTGTAGCAACGTTTCGGCAGAATCTCATCTGCCATCATCAGGCTTCTGTATGATGATGGCAGATGAGATTCTGCCAAAACGTTGCTACAACTTTAAAAGCACAACTATAATGACGTGGGAAAATACCCGATCAAAGCTGAATACCATACATATAAATACCCACGAAAACTTAAGAAAACATATATCTATATAGGCCTGGGTCAATTTGTTTTATAATTCCCATTTCAATCAGGTTTCCAGTGGGAGTCATGATACCATTTTGTGTAGTGCAATTGCGAAAGTGTGGGGGTATTAACTGACCAATGCAGCTTCTTTCGAAGAACGCCTCTTTTAGATGTTATCTTGGTGAGCTTTGAGGGAAAAAGAACATCCGAAGAGATCAAAATCTGCTGTCGTTCCTCAGCGTAAGCCTCCTCAGCCTTTACAGGTAAGGAAAGGAATCTGAGACACCCAAATCCATTTGGAAAAGCACAGAAGGCCCACAGAAAGCAAATATGGGAGGATGATTTGAAAAGCAGCCTGTCTCTTGCAAGCCAAGTAGCATCTGTAAGAAACGTGGATTTTGCTGATCTTGAGAAGCTAAGTTTCCAGGTTAATGCTTGGATGATAGGTCATTGTGAAGTCCCTAGTTGGGTGGTCAACTGAAAATTTTAAAAAACCCCCCCCCCCCCCCCCAAAAAAAAAACACAAAAGAAATGATGATCCACATCTTACTGTCTCCAAGAAAACTAGAGGGACATATTTGTAAAGTCAGATGAAACTGAGGATGTCTCAAGGAAATCTTTACACTTTGCCCTCCTGAGCCATTAAGCGTTCCTGGGCTGAGCGACAATGAATGTGAGCCTCTCGGCTCAGGATTTCCAGCACCAGACAAAATTTGGTCTCTACTGCCCAGCAAAAGGACCAATCTAATCCTGCAAACTATTTCCATGGATTACAGCTAAAATATTTTCCCAGAAAAAAAAACCCAGACCAACCAGTACAGTGGCTTGGAGGGAAAGGAGAGCCTGAACTGGTGTCACCTTATGTCGTTAGCACTGAAGGGAATTATTTTGTACGAAAGGTGGAAAAGGAGGACAGGAGAGCGGGGGCTGGTGGATCAGCACCTCCCCATCTTAGTTGAGTAAGGAGTATAATTGGCTTTTTGTTCTTCTTCCATGTCTAGATCAAACTTTAAACTGCCAGAAGGAACCAACCTTCTTGAGTTTGTCGTTGGCCAAAAATAAGTCATTATTGGTACACATTTCAGGTAGTCCTCGGCTTACAAGCATTTGTTTAATGACCAAAGTTACAAAAACACTGAAAAAAGTGACTTATGCCTGGTTTTCACACTTATAACTACCGCAGCATTCTCATGGTCACATGATCAAAATTCGGGCACTTGGCAACTGGCATATATTTATGACACTAACCTCGGATCGTGTGGTCACCATTTGTAACCTTCCCAGCCGGCTTCCGGCAAGCAAAGTCAATGAGGAAAAGCCAGATTCACTTAATGACCACATGACTCACTTAACAACCACAGTGATTTGTTTAACAGCTGTGGCAAAAGTAGCAAAACAACAATAGCACTCAGACTTATATACCGCTTCACAGTGCTTTACAGCCCTCTCTAAGCAGTTTTATAGAGTCAGCATATTGCCCCCAACAATCTGGGTCCTCATTTTATTGACGTCAGAAGGATGGAAGGCTGAGTCATCCTTGAGCCAGTGAGAATCGAACTGCTGGCAGTTGGAAGAATTTGCTTGCAATTCTGCACTTTAATATCTGTGCCACCATGGCTCGGATGGGGGCAAAACTCATTTACCAACTGTCCTGCTTAGCAACAGGACTCAATTGTGGTTGTAAGTGCGGACTACCTGTACATTGCTTATTCCCAGAATCATCATTTTAAAGAGGAACTCTGTGGAGCCAATTCCTGTAGGCACCGGTATAATTGAGAAGTAATCCAGTGACGAAACTGAGAATTCACTATTGCCTGTTTTCCAACTATGATGAGATTTTTGGGGAAAGGATTTAAGAGAAAGGAATTGGAGTTCTTCCCCTCTTCCTCTTCTTCCTCTCTGGGAAAGCATTTATCATGTGCCAGTGACAGTTTTCTGTCTTAGGAGCCATCAAGCTTAGTTTTTTCCTTCTGTGAAAAAGAAGCCAGTTTTCCTTCAAGTGCTGGGCAGCTGCTCAAATAAGAGCTCAAAAATTAGCAAAGGAAAAAAAAAAACCAACAAGGAGGGGAAACAGAGCTTTCCCCAGTGAAACAAAATGTAAAGTGTCTACTGCTGCCCTAAATGCGCTTTGGGTAAAAAGGTTATTGACAGGGCCACAAATTGGTGATTAGAAGACATCTGAACATTAGGAAATAACTGCAGTTCAACCACCGTGACTACATCGGGCCTTGATCTTGTGGTTTTGTAAAAGGGTAAGGAACCAAGAATAGCATTTGAGGAAGAGAATATTATCGGGGGATATCAGGGAAAGATGTAACCGATTATAAGCAGACCTCAACTTTTAATTGTTCATTTAACAATGGTTCAAAGTTATGATGTTGGAAAAAGCAACTTAATGACGTGCGCTCACACTTACAACTGTCTCATCAACCCGGCAGCCACAGGATCTCAACTGAAGGGCTTGGGACTCACCATTGAAGAGCTGACTCACATTTACAACTGGTTGCAATGTCCTGTGGACAAGTGGTTGTGATTTGCAACCCTTTTTTTAACCGTTTTCCAGCAAAAAGCACCCACTGGGAACTGGATTTGTTTAACGACTGTCTAATTCATACATGATCGCCAGAAAAATTATCATAAAACTGGGTTTCCCTCTACTTATGACCACAATGATTTACGATGGAAATTCTAGTCCAATAGTGGCCACAAGTCAAGGATGACCTGTGTTCATTTTAAGTGTTCAATGAATCTTAGAAAGAGAGAATGCAGAGCTCGATATACACTTTCAGAAACATCTTGCTTCTGACTCTCATCTAACTGCCCATCAAGCCACATTCATCTGCAGGGACCCATCCTTATATCCAAATTAAACTTTAAAAATAATCCTGGATAACTGTCTCTGAGAAAATAGGGACAGCCTGCTCCAACTTGGCAATTTGTGGATGAGTTGCAACTGCAACTTCCCAGATACTATTGGGAACCTTAAGAGAAGCAACCAGGAAAAAATAGGACATGGAATGGCAAATTAGTGTTGTTTTATACTAGATATACTAAATAAGGAGAAACTTTCTGACAGTGAGAATAATCAACCAATGGAACAGCTTGCCCACGGAAGTTATGGGAGCACCATCAGTTGAGACTTTCAAGAAGAGACTGGACTGCCATTTGTCAGAAATGGCGTAGGGTCTCCTGCTTGGGCGGGGGTTGGATTGGATGACCTATAAGGTCCCTTCCAACTCTGATTATCTGTTATCTGTTATATGAAACCTTTGAACCATCTAAACTGAAACTGTCAATGCTGGCAAAGTCTCATGTAGAGAGAAAGGTATTTCTTACCCTGATACTTAAGATCCTTCATTGGAAATGCCAATAAGAACTTATTAATCCTCAATTTATGACCACCATTCAGCCTGGGATTCTGGTTATAAGTTGCTGCGGTCATATGTCACCCGACTTGATTTTACAACCATTTGTATGATGGCTGTTAAGTGAATTACCATGGTCATTAAGGGAATCATGCGATCATAAATCCGAATCTAGCCAGAAAATGCCAAAAAATGTCATACACTGTGATCATGTGACCACAGGACACCGCAACTGGTTGTAAATGGGAGCCAGTTGCCAAGCACCCAAATTGCCCTTGCATGACTGCAGGGGCGGTGTGGCAGTCATAACTTTGAAGACAACTGGTAGCTTTTTAGAGTCCATCATAACTTTGAACTATTGTTAAACAACCGGTCCCAAGTTGGGAACTTCCTGTACTTTTCTGAATTTGAACCTGTATGCTCTGACCTCCTGAGAATGAGCGCATCACTTGGAAGGTATATTGATGTGCCTGACTCATATTCAAAGACAGAGACTCCTTCAAAACCTTTTTGAGGCCTTCTCCTCTGGCCCCCAAGAAGTTTCCATTTTCTGCAGAGAAGATCTAAAGAGGGGGAAGATACTCTCCAAATCTCATTCCCCCATTTTGGGAGGGGGGTGGATTTTGCAGTAGATCTAGAAATGGTGCAGGATGAAGAACCCACCGCCTTATTCTTCCACAGTAATTATGGTACAACCAAATGGGAACCCCTCCACAACAGTCCCCCAAAAGAAAATCTCAAGGTCATAGTTAGAAAAGATAATGCAATGGAATCGAAGGTTTTTCAATTTCTACGATGAAAGTTTCTGGATATAAACTGACTAGGACCACGTTGACTTTCTTGTTTACCCTCTTGGCTTTTCTCCTGAAATTTCGATCGAACATTTGCAAGAGCTGGCATTAGGTTAGGGCAGGGGTCCCCAAACATGGCAATTTTTGAGACTTTTGTGGACTTCAACTCCCAGAATTCTTTGGGAGTTGAAGTCCACAAGTCTTCAAGTTGCCAAGTTTGGAGACCTCTGGGTTAGGGTATCAATGGAAAACATAGGCACTGCAACGTTTACAGATGTCACAGGATTGGGATTTGGAGTTCTCCAACCATTGCTACAATTCCTCCTTTGACCAATATCAATGCAAGAGAACAGACTCCCTAGAATGAACAGATTGTGCCCATACACAAGGCAGAAAAGATATTTTGCATCCTTTACTATTTCATTTATTACCTTTTCTCACATTCGGCAGTAGCCAAGGGGATAGTGGAGAAAATGATTAATTGTGGAGAGTATTCACACTCCAGAAGATACCCAGGCCATGGACAGGAAAGTTTAATGCTTGGTTTTAGGGCACCAAATAGAACCAAATCTGTTAACCCCAAATCTGAATGAAATGGGAATGTTTTCTAATTAGTAGAAAAGCAGCGTTGCCTTTATCTCCAGCCTGAATCACCACCTGTGGCCATCTGCCCCTATGAGGAGGAACACAGAGTGCTGCCCAGGAAGGAGGAGGAAGTGGTAAATCGCTGGAAAAGACCCCACCAGCAGAATGAAAATGGGACCCCCAACGTTCTCAGTCCTTGGCATTAGCTTACTTTCGTTGAAGCACCCCCTTTGGTCTGCTAGGGACAAGTGGTTTTAACAGGCCTTCCAGTCATTTTTCCACGTTCTCTGGCAATTGCCACTTCAGGGAGGGTGAAGGTGACTTCACTGCCTTCTCCCCATGGGTTGTCCTGTGTGTGACTGCAACGGTGGGCGAAGGCTCCCTCTGTTCCCAACTTCCCCAGTGCTGGGAGGAGACACTTTTGTACTCAACGGCCATTGTCCCATCATCTTGCTCCGTGTAGACCCGGGCCTCCAGCTGGACAGGATACGATCCTTGGCATTCCCAGGTGGCTGTGATTCCTGCTGGCACTTCATCCCCTTGCACTGCAATGTCGGGCACGAGGGGCATCTGGGCATCGGGGGCAGATGAGCAGCAAGGCCTATCCTCCACCCAGGAAAGTGCATGAGATCCACGCTGCCAGTCCCCAGGTTTACTCTCTGCTTGGGCCTCAACACTGGATGTAAGTTCTGGCTCATCGAAGCTCACCTCCTGAACGGCTTCCTGCTTCTTGAAAGAGTCCCGGCGCTCAGATAAATTCAGCCGCCGCATCACCACCACTTCGTGGTCTCGATCATAACGTTCCTCAGACCAGTCCCGAAGTCGAGAAATACCAGCGTCTCCCAGGGTGACCATGCCGCTCTCCCTGGCACCTCCATTTCCCAAGCTGGGTGTCTCCAGGGTGAGCTTTCGGCTGCCGACCACTTTTTCAGCAAGGGAAGTAGGGATTTTCTCTGTTGACTGGACTCGTTTGAGAAGTGGGGAACGGGAGCTGTCTGCGCTGCGAGGCCGGGACACTTGACGGACCATGGTAGGCGGAGACAAAGTCTTGCCTTGGAACGTCTGGACGTTTTTTGTAAACAACGGAAGTGGGGAAGGAGATCTTTGGGGGGAAGGAGGTTGGGGAATGGAGGAAGGAGTGCAGGCCAATGGAGAAGGCGGGATGCTGCTGGTTGACTTGCGGCGCCCAACCTTGTAGCGATGACTGTTGACTTTTGGTCCCAAGCCGTGTAGGGAACTTGGTCGGATCTGTCCTGCTGGAGAAGTCGGGGTGCTGGAGGATGGAGAGGGACTCTGGGATGAGACAGAATCTGAGAAAAATAGAAGCAATTATATATCTGGTGGTAGGAGATACTTATACCACCACTGGCTTCCTTTAGATTAAAAAGTACAAACATACTAGGTATGTATTTCAAATTGTTAGCCTAGAATTAGTTCAAACTAAGAAGCCTTTAAAAGCCTGATGCATTAATACATGGCTGGAGACACCATTCTCAAATTAATATGGTATCAATCCTCATGCTTAAAGTTTCAATAAATCAAAAACATTTTGATTAAAAAATATCCATAAAATAATGATCATCCTATACGGCTTAGGGCAAGGGTGTTCAAACCTGGCAAGTTTAAGACTTGTGGACTTCAACTCCCAGAATTCCTGAGCTAACATGACTGGAGGAAGTCCACAAGTCTTAAAGCTGCCAAGTTTGAAGACCCCTGGCTTAGGGCCTAGATATATTCAAGTCCGCTATTCTGAAATGAATGTACCTTTTCAGTTGGATTATGGAAAGAAACCTCATTAAGAGTTCCATCACTAAGGGAATTTTATCTATAAAACCCCATGACTGGGCCTTCTCAGTGGTGGCACCCCTTATCCTTTTTCTTGATTTGTTCCTGTCACTTGTTTTTTTGTTTTTTCATCTGCATTGTTTTTAATGCATTGTCTTTTCTTAAAGTCACTTTGTAGTAGAGCGGCATGGAATCTTGTTGTTATTATGCATATACTGTTACTTCACAACAGGGTGTGTTTTTATGAACTTTTTTTTAAATAAATCAAGGAACCTGTATGGTTTTTTTTTTTCAAGCTGGGTTTTGCTTGCTAAGACTTCTCCACTTTGATAAAGAAGATAAATCTGTTAATAATAGACATTAAGATTAACCTTTTGGTCAAAGTAAAGAAGAAATCTGAGGAGTCTAACTTTTCTTTTCAGTAATTAATTCACAGTTACAGCAGGAAACAAAGTCTGAAGCTTTACTCGTTAATGAATCATTTAACCTGCAGTTTGGGAAGAGAGTCCTACAAAGCAACAGGATGTGCTGATAAAATCTGGAGCAACTGGAGTGTAACAGCTGGATAAACATAAATGCTAAAGTTCTTAACAGGAGTTACTTCCAAAAAGCTTCCCATCAGTTACTTAAAGACACGTTTGTTTAGTGGCCATTCGAAGTTACAAAGGCACTAAAAAAGTGACTTATGACTGTTTTTCACACTTACCACTGTTGTGGCATCTCCTTGGTCAAAATTCAGACGCTTGGCAACTGACTCACATTAATGACGGTTGCGGTGTCCTGGGCTCATGTGATCCCCTTTTGTGACCTTCTGACAAGCAAAGTCAGTGGGGAAGCCAGATTCAAGTAACAACCGTGTGACTAACTTAACAACCGTGGCAGGAAAGTTCATAAAACAGGGCAAAATTTACTTAACAAATGCCTCACTTAGCATTAGAAATCAACTCAACAGTAGTGGTAAACCAAGGATTACCTGTGTGGATTTATTATGTAAAGGATAATGTGTCAATTTGAGTGGAAATGAAAATAAACCAGGTGGTCTGCATAGTAGAACTTATAATTTTAGGGGATAAAATAATGGCACTTGAGACTTATACACTACTTCATTGTGCTTTACAGCCCTCTCTAAGTGATTTACAAATGTCAGCTTGTTTCCCCCAACAATCTGGGTCCTCATTTTACTGACCTCCGAAGGATGGAAGGATGAGTCAACCTTGAGCCAGTGAGAATCGAACTGCTGGTAATCGGCAGAGTTAGCCTGCAATAGTGCATTCTAACCACTGTGCCACCACAGCTCTTACAACTTTTATTCATCACAGCAGACGTGGCTGATGAAGAAGTCTAGGGGGAAAAGGACTTTGTGGGAGATTCACAAGATCCTACCTGGCACAAAATCCGGGACAGGGCTGCGGCAAGAAACAGTAGATCCAGGGGATGAGCTGTGCGTTGGGGATCCAGGAAGGCTCTCGCTGGATGAGAGAGAATGATGGAGCCCGGAGGAAAAGCTGCGGCTGGTATGCAGAACGGAACTTTGCTTTGAGATCTTCTTGAACAGGGATTTCCGTCTAGGAAGGAGCGGGGGAAGGAAGAGGGGAGAAGGACACTTGCTAAGGGTTCCAACATCTGAAGAAGTAGGCCGAGACTTACCAGAACGACAGTTGATTTGAGGTTTGATTTATCAGCTGTAGCTTGATGTAGACTTCAAATGATTGTCCTGTCCTACTCAGCCAGTTTTAGCATCAACAGATAAAACATCACTGAAGCAAGAACACAAGGGGAGGAAGAATTTCTTGTGGTGAGGGATGTATTTTTATTCTATTTTACAAGATTGGAGCTCTGGGGGTTACAGAGGTGTAGCTGAATCACTGCAGCTGACTCAATGGATAAGAGTCTCATGAGATTTTATATACAGTGGTACCTGGGAACTCAACTGTTTTGAAACTCCTTGTATTTGGCACTCAATGTGTTTTGGCGTGAAAATTTTGCCTTGGTGCTCACTGTTTGTTTGGTACTCAATGCACAAGCTGGAACCTGTCACTGTCAGTTGCCTTGTGACTCACTACATTATTTCTTAACAGAAAAAAAATTGTTTGGTACTCTTTTTTGGTACCTCTTAGAATCAATTAACAACAAGTACCAGGGTACTACTGTATTTATTTTCAGAATATTTAGGAATAATGCTGACAATCTCTGCAAAAATCAGCATTTTGCTGCCAAGTTTAAGGAGAAATGTAGAAGGCCTCAGGGGGCTCCCAGAAAAAGTGGGACAGGGATGCTCAGGCAGCTTGTAGCTTGCCAAGAACAAGTGCAGGTAGAAGAAGAGTTGGGTCAACTCAAAAACCATGAAAGACCTTCCTTACTGGATTAAGATGATGACCAGGCTCTGTTCCAACAACAGACAGATGTATAGATGTATAGATGTATAGATGTATAGATGGATAGATAGATAGATAGATAGATAGATAGATAGATAGATAGATAGAT